ATCTGAGGTATATCCTTAACAAATCCTTCTAAACTGAACAAAATTAATAGAAATTGCCAACTCAGTTCTACTGTCATTAAATGCAGAGTCACAGACCCTGGCCAGTGGCCACTCATAATGAAAATACTATAACACGCACCGTACGGTTAAGGCCATCCCAGTAAAACAGAAGTGCAGCATGTGGATTCTCAGATAATTCCCTTGCTTTTCGGCTTTCATAATTCGTGAACCTGTAGTAGGAAATCACAGAAATAGGTGTGAATAGGCATAACCCACATAAGGATCCATTTATTCGAGGGTGGGTGGTGAAGAGGGAGACTAACCAGAGAAAGCCATTTTTATCAACTCCTTTTAGAAGAACCATTCGCGATGAGCTGCAGCAGAAGAGACAATTAATTGCACGCATTCAGAAGATACTAGGGCTTTCAAACAGGGCACATAAAATTACTAGAGCAGCATAACTCACGGCTTTCCATCCTTTGCAGCAGTTGATAAGGCCATGGCATTTGGCTCCTTCAACCCAGCAGCAATTGCATCATTGAACCATTTGCTGAACTACAAGATGGATTTATTACTCAAACAAAATTAGAATATAGGTTAGAGAGATACACAAAAGACAAAAAAAAAAATGCTGACAAAAAAAAGGGTGAGGATAAAATAATGCTGAGGCATAGGATCATAATGGCCAGCCTTGGAAAACCAAATAATAAGGAAAAGGATGTGCACTAAGGATTTGAACTATTATGATAGAGCTAGGATATAAAGCAACACATTACATGATCATGATGGATAATGACACTTAAGATATCCTAATTACTTTAAGAACATATTGCAGCAAGAGAACAAGGAACCACTAGTGATATCTTGTTTAAGAAGAATTAGTTAGTTATGCCACTTTTGTAACAAGAAAAGAGCATAACCAATAAATAAAAGACTGACTAACAAGATATTCAATACACAGCTTGCTAAAAGCACTATTTCTTTGTCATAATTGAACTTTACCTGATCAAAAGGGTCAGCCTCGACCTCCTCCTCTAGTAGGGCTGGAGATATATAATTCTCTCTTAAAGATGAAATGTCTACTTGAAGAGGTTTTCCAATACGTACACACATTGAAGTGCCTGGATATGGCGGAAGATGAAGCTTATATTTTTCTAGAATAGCTGGAGGTACAAATCTCCCACCTACAAAGTGGTGTGGACCACCAAATTTCTTGGCACATAGCTTTGGTGCAGTTAATGAGACCTACAGGAGACAAATGACATCACTCTTGACACTTAGGCACTAAAACGTACTTTGAAAGATCGATTTTTTTTCCACAAGACCAAAGAGGGTTCAACCAGAGCGGACCAGCAAGTCAGGTTTGATGCCTTCACCAGTGACATCCCCTTCTTCAACATGCCACCCAGATGGGATATCCACTGACACAATGACAGTTGACTTCAGACCAGTGTGATGCCGATTCTGGCAGGATACCAGCCTCTGGATGAGAGCGTCAAAAGGTGGTCTTGGGGTGCCTAAAAAATCGAGAAACACTCACATAAAAAAAAAAAATAAATAAATAAATAAATAGATTAACTTCATTGATCTTCTCATTATAGCAACTGCTGCACCCAAAGATTTATTACTAATGGAGCCCGCTCATTGGATAAGAACATTAAAGCCCCAAATATGTATGAAATTGTTTAATCAACACAGAACTATGATGTCCTGTTAACACAAAAGTCATAACTAACATTTTACAAACTAAGGCTCAACTTCTAAATTTCTTCATTCATAATTAGTGATAAAACATTTTCAAAAATAACTTAGATATAATATTTTAGGATTGATTGAAGATTCAAAATAGCATTTATGACTACATAAACAAGAGGGTCTTGCAAGAGTCACAAGTAATTAACTTTGTATCCAGTCTTCCAGTGATTCCAATCAAATTATAAACCAGCAGTTAGTATTGAAAAATATATTAATTACCATGAAAAGAGAACCCAAACATAGCATCAATGATAATGTCAAAGTTATCAGACAAGTCCAAAGGCAGATCTTCAGCCGACAAGAAAGGGACGGACAATGATTCAAGCTACAAAAAATAATGTCACGTAAGCATCACTCATAGAAGGAATTTTAGCTGCATAGAGGCACCCAACAATCACCGTCACCCATCTTCTACCTGAGTCACCAAGCCACTGTATAGAGGCTTAGGAGTGCGTTTTGGGTAGCAGATGACAGGCTTATATCCAAAGTGATATAGATGTCGAGCGGCCACAAGTCCATCACCACCATTATTACCAGGGCCACAGATAGCAAGGACACGATTATACTCAGAGGCCTTGAAAACCTGTCATAATGACAAGTAACATTGTGTCATCAACTCTTATTTGTTATCAGACCATAATTTCCCCTCAACATCCAGCTTAATAATAAAATGAAGAAAGGAATTGACATGATAGTATCACATATAAAAAAGCATGAGATGTGGATGAACTCTTCTGCTGGCTTGTGGGGGGGGGGGGGGGGGGGGGGGGGGGGCTTAATACGAGTCTCAATCTCAAAAACAAGCATGTACAGTCTTACACTATCTATAGCATCTATTACACATATTCATAGCTGCAAGATCAACAAATTTATCCAACCTACTCAGAACTATGACTCTGTTAGGCATGTCAGTAAACCTAGCTTCTATGCAATAAATGATTTTCATCTAATAACCAAAAATCTCATATTCCGACACATCAACTGAGCAACTACCAACAATTCAAAATATTCTAGTTTAATTTGATGATGAATCAAACAAAATAGAGTATGAGCACAAGATGAGACACTCTACAAGATGTGCAATCTGTAACCCTTGGACCTTGATCCTCACTATCATGTTTGCTCTAATGAGTCCTGTTAAATGAAAATTAAAGCCCATTTGTGAGGGTTCAAAGCACTGCCTACTTCATATCCTACATTGCAGAAATTAGTGAATACCGAATACAAAAGAACACAACTTAATTACGGACATAGAAACGTAAGATGCACCATGTAAACCATAGGCTCTCTACTTAATAGCTGGGTTTCAATCAAATATATAAGGTTCCTTAACATTAACATACACTTATATTCCAGTAACAGACTTAAACTCGTGTCTCACCGAAAACCAAACAAAGGCGTCATATGATCCAAATATTCACCAAGACAATAAATTAACAATGAAACATCAAAATCGTGTTCTGTAATCTTACCTCAGCAATAGCACAAGCAACACTCAAACCAGCCAATTCCTGTAACAATTAACACATATAAACAGTTAGAATTCATCAACATTCATCATCAAAATTTCAAATCCAAAATCAAATGTACCATAAGCTGATCAACACTGAACCCCAAGGGACCCATTAAATCTTCATCAATCCCCGCTGCTTCTTGCTGCGATAAATACGAAATCGATTCCATTTCTTTACTGGTGCTCATACTTAAACAACGAAATTGAGTTCTCGAACCCCAATTTCTCGAACTATAACTTCTCAAACCCTAATTTGAAAAATTACACAAAAATGCAGATATTTGATGAGTATGAATCAAAATTGATATACTGAAAAAATGAGAAAGAAAGAGGGAAAAAGGAAGGAAGAAATTAGCTTACCAAGTGATGAGAAGGAGTAGAGAGACAAGTGAAGAGAGAGAAAAATGGAGGTTTAAGGAGAAAATGGTGGGAAGGGAAGATGGCGGGTTTAAAAATCAGGGATGATTGGTTTGGAAGAAGACATGACATTGCTTTTGTTTTGCTAAGCAACGCCCTTCTCATTTTCTGTTTTATTTTTGTGTAGAAAATTCTAGTGATAATCCATTGCTTGTATAGTTGGATGCAAAGTTGTGCCTTAATTGCAATGCAGATCTAGGATAATAAGGGTCTGTTCTCATACGTTGAAATTCAGTTTAGTTCAGATCCTTATTTCCTTCTCTTATAAAATATTCATTTCAATTCAGTTCACTTCAACTGAGTTTAGTCAATGAGAACATGCTCTGAGGGGCTTGTTTGGTTTGCTTTTCTTTTAACTAGGGTAGCTAACGTGCGCATATGCATGGTAACTTATATTCGCAAAGTTATTTCAATTTATGAAGGCATAAAAGTCATAAATATTTTAAAGAATATAATTGTTCAAACACTATTCATAAGAGTTATGTTAAACTTTTTAAAATGCAGGGATTGAAACTTTAATTCTTGTGTGATATTTTAGTCATGCTATCATTTCGTACTTTAAAGATGTTAAATATTATCTGGACCATCACTAGTTAGAAATCTTTGGAGCAAATTCCTTTACTTGGATGTACATATAGCATTTAGTTCAAACTCAGATTTGCATGTTAATTGTTCCATACTAAACATTACTCTGTACTAGTTTTTATCTGTGGAGGGTCAAACTAACTTTTGCTGAAACATAAATGATGAATAAACAAGCTGACTTAGGCCACTTTGATTTCATATACAAGGTTCACCCTTTTTACTCTTAGTTTGACTCAAGTTTAAAGCTATCAATTAATTTGTATGTTCAAGATTGAAAACTTGTTCAACCTTGATTCAATTAGAAAATTCTATTAGTGTACTTAATGTATCAATTCTTTATATCACTTAATCTCCATTATAATAAGTTAAAAAGAATCTCAATCACAGTCAAATTAAAAAAAAAAAAAAAAAAACACACACTAGTAAAAGTCAAAACTATACATTTGTTCATGGTTCAATATCTATGGAAGTGGACGTTAAAACAATTCAAATTCAAGCCACCCCAATATGACTTAAAGTAACAGCTTCAACAAGTCATTCATGATTAGTTGATTACAAAGTAAGTCTACTAGTATGCGTTCACTTTTTCAAATCTGATTTCAAGTTCATCCCACCACTTAATTGAAACTATGAACTTATTTTGTTAAAACTTACAGTATGTCTGAAAATAAAAGTATCAGTTTTGTCTCGGGGTCCGATTCAGCATTGCTACATCTCCACAAACAAATCATATACTTCAAGTGAATACTGGAAATTGCATAATTGCCAATCAGATCACGATATACTGTCTGTACAAAAACTCGAGCAAATTTCTGAACCAAGCTAAGTAAACAAGCTTATACATTATACCAAAGTAGTTTCTAATTGATAAAGTGACAGTAATGACTCATCACATTATCAGAGAATACATTCAGATAATTTTACAGTTGAATTACATGAGAAAATAGAATTTAATTGAAACCCATTATAAACAGATGATCAATAAGACAAGACATACATCATCACAAGATCAGCAATGGCATAATAATAGCTAGAGGTGCAACTAGCTACCATGGCTAAATAAATGCATAATTTCAATCAATCAGCCAAAACAATATGTATGTTATATGTCTGCAGTTATTTTCCATCGCTTTCTTTATCTTTCTCCTCTTCAGATACTATCTTCTGAATCTTGTCAATGAAGCTAAGCATGGTAGTTAATGACTTCTCGTCTGAAAAAAGACAACGATATATGTTACCAATTCTTCAAGAAACAATTGAATAATCCATGGAAGTAGAGTGATAACAAGTTTGTGTTATAAAGTAAATTGATAACCTTACCTAAGCGAGGAACTGTATGGCCCTTGGGGTGATGAATAATATACGGGTCAACAACAGACTTGATGAGATCTTCTCCATGTGGCCTCAAGAAGTCCTCCTTCCCTGCAAGAAATTTTGCACGTCAAGAAGCATAAATCCAGTCCACAAATTATCCCTAGCACGAAGCTACTAGATGTGCACTCCATTTGCTGACAAATTGTGATATTCAGGCCAACATCCAGACTGTAAGCACTCACACAGCAAACTATGCCAATACTTTCTAACTAAACATCAAACTTCAGGGTGTTAAAGAGCTTATTACAAATTTACAATGCACTAAGTTTGCTGACAGTTTTGGAATCACCCCCTTTTTCAATAACACCCCTCCCCTTCTTCTCTTCACCAATTCAAAGAAGAGTATTTATTAGTTATCCCTTGAGTCAATCTAGTTATGAGATGCCATATGTTAAATCCCTTCCAAGTTTTCCATTGGAAAAAAAATTCTCAACTGATAATCTTTAACATTCACTTTACAGGTTAACGAGTATAAAAACAGACTGCGACTGCGTACAATCAGACATCAGTAGATTCTGGTACCAACAGAATCCATATATATTAGGAATACTCTTCTAATAGAACTCTGATAATGCCAGCATATCATTCTTGTTCTTCATGTTTAGCTCTCTGAAGCCTTAGAAGCAATACCTAACCACTAAGATTCAACTCATTTGACCAATCTGTTAGAACGGAATTTGTAGCATTCATTGTAATACAATTCTTTTTCAACACTAAGCAAAACACATGAGATGAAAATCAATATTCCCACAATCAACCTTCATAATAGCTCTCCATTCATGAATATAATTAGTCTTTTTTGCACCTTAGCTATAGCCTATTAATGACACATTGATAATACAATCAACCAAAAGAGCTCTTTTTCACTAGCAAAACTCCATTCTTCTTAAATTTCAACTATATGTCAAAGAATCACCACCACACCAAATCGGACCTGTCATAACTTGGAATTAAACAGGCAGTTTACGCCTCAGTAGCTACCGTTCCACCATCTCTACAGGTTTTCAAGGTACCTAATCTGATGGTGTTTAGGGTGGTTCACTGAAAGTCTGAAACCAACCTGCCTAATCTAATCATCTATAATACTAGCACACAAAGCCAAATTCCAAGTAAACCAAATTCCATTATAGACAAATAACTCTCACAAATTCACAAATTTCAGGGAAAAAAAAAACACACACACAATTAAAGTACAAAGGGTTGGCAAAAATGCCAAAAATTATACCTAAAAAGTGGAGTGAGGGACATTCAATTGGAGAGCTATAAGCTTTCTCTGCCCATGACTCAGACTTTAACTTCGCACCTCCAATAATAATCAAAAACTTAATTTTTGGAACTTTGGTCAAAGCCAACCCCTGTAACAAAATTCATCAATCAATATACACTCATTTTAATCCAAATTCAATATTTTAAATAACAACCCAACATCATAATTCATAAATAAACAAAATAAAAAAAAATTAAATTAACACAAACCTTTGCTTGCAATCCTGGTAATGCAGCTGACAAAATAGCCCCCTACAACACACAATAATAAAAGATACGGAAAATTTGTCAAAAACTACCTTATTTACCGTATATATAATCAATACCGGTGTCACACAACAGACAATTCACTGTATGATATTGGGTACGGAAACACAATTCACTACCTAATTTAAGTAGATTAAGCCAAAATGTGCTTAATCATAGAATAGGTCCATCAAATATATAAATCACACAAAATTGTGCTGTACCTGAGAGAAACCCATAAGACCATCAATGGGACCATGCTTTATAATAAGCTCTTCAATATACTCCAAACATTCCTCAAAATTATCATACGTTGTAAATTCCTAAATATAATTTAACCCCATATTAAAATTTAATCATACATGCAAATAATAATTGTCAATAAATTAAATAATAAAAAAAAAAAAGACTGACTTTATTGAATTGAAACCACTCGTAATAAGGAGGATCAAAGATGCCTTCAACATCGGACTTTCCTAGGGCCGGAAAAGGGGCATCTGGAAAAACAAGATCAAGTTTATCACAAACGAATTCGGGCCATTTATGGATTTGCTTCTTCATGATTTCTCCGTTTGTTCTGAAACCGTGTAAACATAGAAATCTGGGTTTTCTAATTTCTTCATCTCTGTGTTCACTTCCCATTTTTTGTACTATTTTGATGGAATAACTTTTACCTTTCAATCCAAACACGCCCTTAGTAGTTTTTTTCTTTTTTAAGTGTGTTTTGTTTGTTGTTTCTAATCCTAACTTCCTGTTATTTGGGAATTTTGAGTTTATATAGAGCAATAGAGGTGAGTATTTCTTTTAAAAAAAAAGAGGTTGTTATTGTTACGGAGTATTCCGTAATATTGTCCTATTTATAATTTTTACGAAATATTCTGTGGAGTCTGTGCTAAATATTCCTTTTATTTAACACGCTTTGATTTTCGTTGTGAAATGCAGATAATTCTGTTTATTCGACAGATGTCAGGGTATTTGGCAATTGTTTTTTTACTAGTTTAAGTTTTTGGCTTTTTAGTTTGGTCAAATAATAAAAAAAAATAATATATATTTGGTAGTTTATTTTTTTTGTTGGCTTTTGAGTGCCTATTCTGATTGACTAAACTAAATTGAATTTATTGAAACTGAATTGAACTGAAGTGAATACTTTATGAGATAAGGAACTTAAGAACTGAACTGAACTTATTAGAGTTGAATTAAACTGAAAATAATATAAAGAGAACAGGCTCTAAGTTGGTTTTTTCCGCCAAAAATCAAAAGCTAATAGGCTTTTAAGCTGACTTGTGGCTTTTGGCTTTTTTATTGGCTTTTGACTTGTTGGTTCACTTTATCACTAATAAACAATTAACAACCATAAATAATTTTACCAAACATTTTTGTACACAGCTGATTTAAACAACTAAGGGCCTGTTCTAATAGACTGAAATCAGCTGAACTGAACTGAAATGAACATTTTATAAGAGAAGAAAATTAGAAACTGAAATGAATATTTTATAAGAGAAGGAAATTATGAGCTGAATTGGACTGAAATTAACTGAAAATAAACGTATGAGAACATACCCTAACTTTAAAAGCCAATCAACTCAACTATTACTTCACTCTAGTCAAACAAGTCAACCGCCGATTGCAAAACAATCCCGCTATCTACTTTGGCTAACTTTTATTATTCTAGTTGCTACTGTATAAAACATATTCATATCAATCATATGTAATATCTTAATTTATATTTTCATGATCTTAAATATTATTTGTTATAATTTTTACCTGTCCATAAATAGAATTTTTACCACTCATAGAACTTTTAAGTTGGCAAATGTAACAAGGATGTCAAAATTATGTATCTACCACAAATTTTCATCTTGTCAAACACTCATATAATATTTGCTTATAGGATTTTGCTAACATTTTTACTAGTATATCTTGTCTTACACTCATATACTACCACGGTTAACTTTTAGTTGCAACTTTAGGGTATTATTTGTGAGATATAAATATTTCAAAGTTACAACTAAAAGTTAACGAAAGTAGAACAAAGTATGAAACTATGAAAATACTATACTTTTAGGACTTTATTTAACACGTTTTACGTATAGACGCATAGTCGCTTACTCGCTTTGCTTGGATGGCTCGGTATATGTATACAATAGATAATTAAATATGAATTTAAAAATAATCACATTTTATTATCTTGCATTGTTTTTGTTTAAAACGGGATTTTGCTCATTAAAACACGAGGAGAAAAAGAAAAGGGGAAAAATAGTTGAACTGGAATTATGGAACGATATATTTGTGACATTTGTTAATCACTACTTCACTGGCCAATTGACCAGATTGGTAAATAAAAAAGACCCTTAGCGATAATTTGGTAAAAAAACTTACTCCGGCGACAAATTGGTAAAAAAACTAACCTTAAGCGACAATTTGGTAAATAAAATAATCTCAGGCGACACTTAACCCAAAAAACACAAAAAAAATTCGATAAATTACTTGCGAATGCTTAATATAGTTCGTTTTTCTTGTTATTTTACCAACCCCTTTTTTTACGGAAATAACAATTTGAAGAAAAAAAACGTTAAGTATCGATTTTCACTTAAGTTTCATACCCCTTATTAACGAATTTTTTTAAAAAGGAGGTTGGAAATAAAAAGGGATGACATGTAAATTCAATATTTTAAATGGAAAAAATAAATTTAAAAACACAAAAACAAATTAAAATAGGATTTTTAAAGAGTTTGTCGGGAAAAAAATAGATTTTTTGGTCAAAATGTCGCCGGAGTTTATTATTTTTACCAAATTATCGTACATTGTTAGCTTTTTTTTACCAAACTGTCGCCGGAGTAAGTTTTTTTACCAAATTGTCGCTATAAATCTTTTTTATTTACCAATTTGGTCAATTGACCCTACTTCACTAGTTAGAGAAAGGTTACTCCGTACTAAGGAAATTAAAGAGAGATCGATAAAATAAAAGGCATGTGGAAAAACTAGAGCCGTTGAAAGGGTACGTTGAAAGCGACGGTGAGATTGTGATTGGTGAAGTCGTGTACTGTACAATTATTTAGAAAGAAAGAATACTACGTAATAAAAATAAAGATAGCACACGGTGGTTGACCACAATTAGGGGATGACTATTGAAGTGAGGTCACGATGTACAACATTTATAGCGGAAGTTAATAAAAAATCAGTCGTTTTACACGAAACAAATATACATCAAGTCAAATAATTTTCTGTCGGCCATTTCAGACCATAAGGCTTACCAACCCAATTCACATGGAGGACAAAGTCAATAACGTGATTCCACTGAAAAATTAAAATAAAATAAAACTTATACTTATACTTATTCCATTTTTTTTTTAATAGTTGAAACAATTTGACTTTTACACTATTTATGTGTTTGAAAAATCTAATATGTTAGGAGAATTTGAAGGGAAGTGAAAGTCACATTAATTAGGCATTCGAAAATCCTAATCCACAATTGATTGAAGATAATCATTTTAGAATAAAACTTCAATTGAAATAGTGCCATGACTTACATTTCAAAAATGTGCATTTAGAGGACATGATGAAAGTACAAAGTAAAAAAATGAAAGTATCTTTCTAGAGATGTTAAAACTCTTAGCATCATATAATAAAGATGAATATAATGTTGTGATGGACAATGTCCCACAAAATTGCTAAATATACATCTCTTCCTATAATTCAGATAGAGATTCAACAGGTATTTGCAAGCAAATTAAAGTGCAAAAAAGAAATTTGGTGATTCAAAGTTTTGTATTAGTGTTCATGAATCTCGAGACATATATAAACACTAGTAGAAAAATACAAAAAGGCAACCCTCAATTGGCACCGATTCAGGCCAAACCGGTGCCAAAAACCGGCCTACAATTGGGCGGGGATTTAGACCAAGAACAATGGCACTGGTTCATCTCAAACCGGTGCCAAAAATAATAAGGCCACCGGTTTGAACCGGTGCCACTGAACCGGTGCTCCAAAAAAAAAACCCGGCCTTTCCTTTATATATACCCTAATATAAGCTAACCTACCTCCTTCTTTCTCCTCCTTCTCTCTCCTCGGTGCTTCTCCTTCTCTCTCCCCTGATCTCGATCCGCTTCTCCTTCTCTCTCCTCTGATCTCGATTGGCGTCGGCATTCCTCTCCTCCCCTCCTTTTCTCTCCGACCTCTCTTCTTTGTCCTCTCTCCCCTCTCTGTCCTCTCTGTCCTCTTCTGTCTCGATCTCCGACCTCTCTTCTGTCTTCTACCCACCACCACCGACGCCACTAACCACCGCCGCCACCAAGTCCACTTATTTTCAGGTCAAATTTGAGGTTAGTGCATGTTTCTGGGTTTAATTATTCGGGGTAAGGGTTTCTGTGTTTAATTATTTATGTTATATGCCTTTATTTTTTTGGGTTTGATTGTTGTAATATTGTTCGAAATTGATTAGTGTAATTATAATTCATTGCCTTAATTTTTTTGGGTTTGATTGTTGTAAATTTGCACTTGATTGATTTTTCGAAATTTCTGGGTTTAATTGATTTTCGAAAGGTTTGGGGTTAACTGATTTTCTGGGTTTGCTGGGTTTAATTGATTGCTGGGTTTGATTTTGGGTTAATTGATTTTGTCATTATAATTCATTGTTTGTGCGGTTTTTCTGGGTTGATTTTCTCTTTCTCTTTCATGCATGAGTTTTAATTTCTGGGTTATTGTTTCTCGTATTTTTATTTTTTTTTTTAGTTTTAATAATTTATGGGTTTTAATTGATGCAGGTGTTAATTCATGCAACAAGGATTCAAAACTTTTTTTTTGGAATATTGTTTTGATGTTGTAATTTTATTATTTTTTTTTATTGTTTTACAATTTCAAGTTTTGAGTTGAATTTCATTATAATTCATTGTAATTTTTTAATTTTTTTTTTTGTATTGTATAATAACAATTTACTTGAATATAATGTGATGTTGAAAATAACAATTTCGATCAAGACTTCGTATTTTACCATTTATTTTTGTTTGGTTCGTATTTCTGATGTTTGTTTGTATATTATTTTTATTATTATTGCAAGAAAAAAAAAATACCAAAAAGGCACCGGTTAACGGTGCCTAAAAGAGCTTCCACTAAAAAATAATATTTCGCGGAACTATTTAAGGCACCGGTTAACCGGTGCCAAAAAGGGGGATAATTGGCACCCCTCACATAGGCACAGGTTCAAACCGGTGCCTTAAGCTGGGTTTGAACCGGTGCTCTTTGCTATTTTTCTACTAGTGAAAAGAGAACAAATGCCTATTGTTTTAAGGTTTGTTGACATATATGGTTATATACGAGAGCGGTATTTTGAGCTAGTACTTGACAAAAATACAACCTCCAAGACTCTTAAAGAATTTTTTTTGTGGTTTTATCTAACCATGATCGAGTTGAGCATTCAAAACCTCAGAGGGAAAGGTTAAGATGATGCTAGAAATATGCGAGGAGAATGGAATGGCTTTAAGGCTTTGTTCATGGAAGAATGTCGCTATGCTTAATATGTACATTGTCTAGCACATCAATTACAATTAGCTCTTGTTGCTGCAACAAGGGAAGTAGTCGAGGTTGATGATTTTTTTTAAAAGATTTAATTTTTATTGTTAACACTGTTAGCTCTTCCTCTAAGCTTCATAATGAGTTACAAGCCAAATAGCTGAATTGGAGAATTAAATTAAGATAGAAGAGGTTGAAACAGGGAAAGAATTGAACAAAATAGGCATGTTGCAACGTCCTAGGGATACTAGATGGAGCTTTCATTATATGTTGATTTATAATCTATTAAAAATGTACAATGCTACTCGCTCAGTCCTTGAAAAAATAGCCATTAATCATCGGGTATCACGTGGGGATGCTAAATTTGTTCTATAAAAGTTGGTAGCATTTGATTTCGTATTTATTTTACACCTTATGGAAGATCTTATGGGATATACATATGGTATTTGTTGGGTTTTACAGCATAAGTCACAAGACATTTTAAATGCTATGCATTTAGCTGTTTGTGCAAAATCCTTGATTCAAAGTTTTAGAGATAATGGCGGTTGGGAATCCCTTTTACAAAAAGTACAATAATTCTGTCTTAATATAAACATGATACTCAAATACTGGATATGCAAGTTGCTTATCTGATATAATTTGATCTCGACGCAACAAAGACACCATAACAGTGCAACATCATTATCGGGTAGATGTGTTTAATACAACCATAGATCAACAATTGCAAGAGTTGAATAGTCGTTTTAGTGTACGAATTGAACAACAGAGCTACTTACTCTAAGTGCGTCTATGAGTCCTATTGATGGATATGAACATTTTAATATGGAAAATATTTGTCTCCTTACTGAGAAATACTATCTTGAGGACTTTTTATAGTAAGAGAAATCACATTTGAAGTATCAACTTCAACAATTTTATAGTGATGTTCCTAAGCACTCAAATATGAAGGACTTGAGTATCAAAACTGATTTGTGTAGAAGTTGGTGGAGACTAGGAAATCAGTTGGTTATCCATAGTTGATAGATTGATTCGGCTTATTTTAACCCTTCTAGTTAGCACAACAACTACAGAATGAGCTTTCTTGGCATTGAAAATTGTGAAAACTAGTCTTCGAAATAAGATGGATCGGAAGATGACTTTTTTTTTTTCTATTACTTGCTACTTTGCTAGTGTATATTGAGAAGAAGATTGTTGGAAAATTTGAAATAAAGTCAATTATTATGGAGCTTGCAAGAAACTACTAAAGATAGATCCGACCATAATTTTTAAAAATAAAGGAGATTGCAAGAATACATACAAGATAGCAATCTCCATAAAAATAAAAGAGATTGCAAGAATAATTCCTAAAACTCCGTGTTTAGAGAAATAGAGCAAGTATTTAAAAACATAGGGAGTACGACTCTGTTCTCTTCAAATTATTCTCAGTTCAGCTCCAATAAGTTCAGTTCTTAATTTCCTTCTCTCACAATATATTCAGTTCAATTCAGCTCTAATAAAGTTCAGTTCAGCTCAGTTTAGTCAATTAAAATAGGCCCTACATAAGTTCATGTGAGAGTGTAGAGAAAATGTGTTGTAGTCGTGGTCGATGGATTTGATTATATACAAGTGAATTTAGAGAAATACTCCCTTCATCTTGAAATACTTGCATTGCTCTACTTTCCTTTTTCGGTTGTTTTTAAATACCTGTTTCATTTCCTTATTTGGAAAACTTTTACAATATTAAATTCATTTCTCTCACCCGATGGACCCAACATAAATCATATTTTATTAATTTCATATTATCTCTCCTCCAACCCCACTAGTCACTACCTCCATATTTTATTATTTTCTCCAATTTATTCTAAAACTTCGCGTATAAAGAAATGAAACAAGTATTTAAAAATGGAGGGAGTACCGCTGATAAAGTTTGCTTCATGTACATAAATATTTTATAACCTTTTATTGTATTTCATACTACTTTTTTTAGTTTTTATGAAAAGTATCATGTTATACTAACTTTTGAGTTTTGATAGTATATTTCATTACATAATGCTAATACTTCCAACTTTCACAATAATATAAAAATGTTAAGCTATGTCGTCATTGGCAAGTTTATACGACTATGTCCAAGATAGAGTCCTTTAATTTCCAACTACATACTTAGTACTCGATCACCCCTCTCATAGTCTCATACTCTCATATAGAAAGTCTTGGCTCTTGACTCGTGACTATTGACTTCTTGGAGCACGATGGATTCAAGACGTTAGAATAGGAATAAAATACTACTTTCGAATTTTTTTAATTGTAATTTTAAAATATTTTATATTTTACAAATTATACCTTAAAATTACAAATAATTAAAATCGGAGGTAGTAGATGGTATAGGTGTTATGTACTTGTGTAGTTGTGTACTGTCATGCATGGGAAAAAAAAGGAGTATTGAAATACAACCACATAGTTCGTATAATTCCGGCTAATTTTGGCAGCTGAGGAACTCTTACGATTCTGAATTTATTGCAATTAATATGCAAGGAGCTTAGAATTAGCCATCAATATGAAGATAAATTTCAAACCTACGAGTACCGCTAGATAAGGCTTGTTGGAAGTAATGGATGCTCTCATCTCATCAAATATATTGTCTCGATATGATCAACAATCCTTCTTGGTCGGTTCAAATCTCTCATGCCTAAAGGGAAGTAAATCGAGCGACAAATAGAGTTAGTAAATGCGTCTCTCAGCCAACTAGATGTTCCTTTAGACTTAATTTTGATTGTAAATGAGGACATTAGGGGCCGTGCCTCGCCTAATTTCCTCCTTAGCTAGGGCCGTTAGTGTTTTTTGTTCTACTGGTAATTGTTTGTTGTGGCTTGATTTGTTTTTTTTCTTTATTTTGGTTTTACTCAATTGAATTGAAATATAGTATTGTATTATTCATAGAAAAGACATAGAAATGCTATGTCGTTGCCTCCTCCTTAACAAGTATATATTGAACGTAATATAATATAATGATAGATCTGGCCTTCCTGTTTTAAAATTATAGAGTAATGTGTCAAGACTTTAACCACAACCTCTTATTAGAAAACACAAATGTGTAGGTCGTCGTGTTTGGTGAAAACCTAAAAGCCGAATCTAATTCTATTAAATGATTTTGACTAGCTTATTGTATTAACTAATTTGATTGACTTATTTTATTAGTTGGCTGAATCAAAGTGTTGATTAATACGAAGTAGCTGATTGCTTAAAATTGTATGATATGTGAAATGACTAATAAGTTAATTGTAGGCCAAGGATAGGTAGTTGAGATAGAACTTTAAATTTAATGGAAAAATATTCACCCTAAAAAAATTTATATTATAAAATGAGTTTATATTATTATTTATTTTCCAAATATATATTTTTTTTATCATGGAACTAAAATGGATTAATGGTAAAAGATTACACGTTACCTTAAGAATTTTTTATTCTAAAACACTATATATACTTTTTTTAGGAAGAACATAATTTTGTTTTTCAACGCGTTATGTATCCAGTTGGTCACACTATGTAACTGCTTGAAAAAGAACAAATTAACCCATACTTGTAACATTGACTAAGTTTCTTATAATATTAGAGAAGTAACCCTGTATATACAGACTTCATACTCGTATTTGTTTTTAATGGTAAGAAAACAAAAGGCATTAGAAAAATTTAAGCTCGGGATCACCTATGCAGAGATAGAGATCCCAAACCCATACCCACCACCAACCCATCCATCCCATTCTGCGCCAGCAGGTTATCTGATCTCGGAAGCACCCCCCTCAAACTCTTTCAAATTCAAGTTCGACGGTTCACTCAAAAACAACTCAACAGCAGCAAGTGTCATCATTAGAGACAATACTGGTTCCCTTATCGCAGCTCGTACTTTCAACCTCGACAACACCACTGTTTTTGTTGCAGAAGCTACATCTCTCCAACAAGGGATCCTTCTCGCTCTTCAACACGGGATTCAACATTTAGTCATTGAAGGGGATAATCTCATAGTAATCAACGCAGTCAAGAATGTTTGGTCCATTCCATGGCAAATCAATCACATCATCGCTGACATCCTCAATCTTGTTCAAAGGTTTCAACAATGGGATATTCATCATGTTTACAAAGAAGCAAACAAAGCAACAAATTGAATCGCGAATGTAGGTCATCTTGTTAATGATAACATAGACATTACACTTTGTACTTCCTCATCTTTGTACCCTATTATTTCTTCTGAAGCATTAGGAATACCCCTCGTGAGGAGGAGTTCCTATTGTTTTTCTTTTTTCTTACCTTTAAAAAAAAATTAGAAAAAGATAAAATTTGGTAAAAGTTAATGTTGTGCAGTACAAGTACAACAGATTTTTTGAAGGTGTAACGTTAATTTTTTTTTTTATTATTTTTTTAAAAATAAAATCCCAACTGCAAACAGAGTAGACACGCAAGATATCCAATAAGAGAAAGCCACGTGGAATATACACATAAAAAAAATAATTCTGGAATATTTCCTTTCCTTCTCCTACCTGGAAAACAATTTACACACCTATTTCTTCAATTTCTCTCTCCTCAATTCTTGCAAATTTCATCTCTTCCTCTGTCCTTCAACTTTAATCACCTGATTTCGTTACCAATTCATCTTAATCTTTCATTATTCAAGAAACCCTCTTTTCAATTCACAAGCCCTAATTTCCTCACTTAATTTTCTTTGATTACTCAAGTTATGGCGTTCAGAGGTGGTGCTGCTCCTTTCAGATCAAGGTAATTACGATCAATCAATTTCAATCATAATTTTTTATTCTTCAATTTGAACATGATTCTAATTTTTGAAGTGAATTTTAATTTTAATAATTTTTTTTTTTGAGTGTAGCGATGGGTTGAGTACTCGGCAGGTGGGAAATTCAGATGAGATTCAATTGCGGATTGATCCAATGCATGCCGACCTTGATGATGAAATAATTGGTCTTACTTCACAAGTTCGAAGGCTTAAAAATGTAATTTTATTCTTATTCTTTCTTGTCTTAATTATTAAAGTTTAGTATATTACTTTAATTACATGAAATTAGGGGAATTATAGCATTATTGGATGTAAATATTTGGAATTAATCATGTATTTTGAAGTAGTATTGATTAGGGAGAACTATAGGAGGTATTTGATTTGCCACTGGTTTGGATTAACTAATTTCAGGGATTTTATGGCTTGTTTGGTAGTTGGTTATAGATAGCGTTAATGAATCGAATTTAAGTGTAATTTGACATGAAAAGTAACATGCTGGATTAATGGGTTTGTTTTTATATGCTTATAATTCAAGGTAGCATCATCACCTGTTGTATATGATTGTTTTGTTCTTTTTTTTTAGAGGACTGGGCGAGCTATTATTGTATTTAGTTTCATACATGTTTGCTAGAATATATTGTTGAATTGTGGTCTTGGTTAGGTGCTTTTGCCACCAGGATGACTAATCGAGGTTCAAGATGGTTGTTTTATTAGAAACTTAGATATTGCAACCTTGATTTCAAGTCTTGAGATTCTTCAGTTCTTGATTTGGGTTAATGATTTCTGGAGAGTTGTTTAAACCTTGTTGAATAACTAAATATGAATTTTTTTAGGAAATTTTTCGTTTGGTTCTTAGGTCCTTTGTCTTGGTTCAATTTTTTATTTACTTATGTTACACACTTGCACTTTTATTTGGTTCTTTGAATTGGTCTCTAATGCTATGATTTTTATACAGGTAGCACAAGAGATTAACTCAGAGGCAAAACTTCAGAGTGACTTTGTAGATCAATTGGTAAGGCATCAGCTTAATCTTCTATAATTTATAGCATTTTTTCCTTTGACTCGATATTTTGAAAATCTGTCAAGTTGTAATTGTGATATCACTGCTTGTTTTCTCTTTTGGGTACTTTTATGTTCATCAAATGCAACTCTTGACTAGCTTGAGAATTGACATGCCTTATTATAAGTATTATTTTGTCAAATATACCTTGAGAATAGGTTCCTGCATTCCTCTGTTCAGAATTTTCTTGCTCCTCTACTTATTGCTGTGTTGCCTTCTTTCCCATTCACCCTCTTTCTTTCCACTATCTGAAATTCTGAACCCCAACAAAATCAGAATGGGTTCCATATTCTTTCTAATGTTGATGAGATTCTGTGTCGGTGTTGCTGATACCAGTAACATGACCAGTTTTCTGATCTTTCTTGTTATATGTTTGATTGGCTGGCTTCGTTTAGGATTACACTTTTTAAAGTATATTCTGAAACTTTTCCGTGTGTGGATATTAACTCAACCTTTGGGGATTTTCGCAATTTACATGCATGAATGAGCTTGCTTATGTGACTTTTTAGTTGAACAGAACGATATGAAAATGAAATGTTTTTTATGTTCATGTCCTGAGAAAGGAGATAGTGAAGGTTGCTGTGAATCATTTTGTTCATTAATAAAAATACTATGATACAGCAAACTACTCCGATGCTTTTTATGACGTGTGTTTTTTCTGATACAGCAAATGACCCTTATCAAAGCTCAAGCTAGTTTGAAGAACAACATGAGGAGAATAAACAGCAGCATTGTGCGAAACGGATCAAATCATGTAATGCACGTTGTTCTTTTTGCTCTTTTTTGTCTCTTCTTGGTTTACTTCTGGTCCAAATTTTCCCGACATTAAGCAACTGAGTCTTGTTACTCCTTAGAGAAGCTTCAATTGTACTGTACATCTTCCCGAGCAAAGAAAATGAAGTTGATTCTAGTTATTTTCAAAAATATTATCTTTCAGATCTTTCTAATTGTCAATATTTGCCGAAGCCTATTTTCGGATAAACTCTATGAATCTATCACATTGATGCGAAACTTATTGCATAACTGAATATATTGAGAGCCAAATTTCGACAATATTTAACACTTGATCATTAACAAATACGATAAAGCTTGATAACATTGACATCAAATGCTACGGCAATTCTTTGTATAGTACTCTGTATATTCCTCTTGAAGTTAATGTGCACCTTGAAATGGGATCTCTCGACCTCAATAATGATGGTGATTACTGAATTGATGCTAACAAAGAACCCAACTCCCACACACATACATCAACCACATCAATAGACGCGAGTGAGGAGTGAGGACTATGAGTCTATGAAGAGATATCACTTTTCGTTTATGCATGGTGTGCTTACTTTTTTCGAAATAATATATTAACAGCATAAGTCTCAATAAGTTGAGCATCAATCAAACGTTGGAATGCATGATAGTTGAGTTTATCGTACAAAGGGCTGAGTATTTCTTCTCCAAAGTAACGCGAAACTAGTGATTCTGAAAATGCTCTAATGAAGTTTGTTATGTTACGAGCTCTTTCCCATTTATCTTCAATTTCACGTGCCACATCAATCGCCATTGTCTTACAATTTTCAACTGTGAATGACCCTTCCATTTCAACTATGCTTTCTAGTTGCTCCGCGCTTGCGTAATATATCGGGAAACGATTTTGTCTAACTTCTCTTCTTTAATTAATCCCTGAAGAGCACATAATTTTAAAGACAACTCTTACACGAAAATTAGATTGCAAAATGCTTTTTGTTCAATCATGAATCAATAATGATAAAAATTAAAAATCCATGCACTAGGCCGAGCACAAACCCACATATAAGCCTTATAGGGTTCCTTCAATACCATACTGGTAATAGTTGGAGTAGCTCACAATCTTATATGTTAGCGTTTGCCTTTTTTTTTTTTTTTTTTTTTTTTTTTTTTTTTTTTAATGTGGTAAGACTAGATCACATGTGAGTTATTATGCTATAATGAATTGATGATAAAAGTAGTGTTGATAAGTATTAGGTGACTCGTACTTCGTTGCTTTGTCCGCCCGATCGGGCGGACATTGCCCGGTCTGACCGGGCGGAAGAAGAAGAGGTGCCTGGCAAATTCGTTGAAGAAGCTGCTCTCGCGCCCGACCGGGCGAGCCTTCGCCCGACCGGGCGAGCCTTCGCCCGATCGGGCAGACCTTGCCCGGTCTGACCGGGCGGTGGGGGTTGGATACGTTGAAGCATTCGTATGGAGTTTTCTTCTCGCGCCCGATCGGGCAGACCTTGCCCGGTCTGACCGGGCGGAGAAGGAAAAATACGGAACGCGGATTTTGCGGTTTTAGGTTATCTTATTTTATTATTTTTTTGCCCAAGTATCTTTTAATTAGGGATTAATATAAAACCTCCCTAATATCAGTATTAGGGTTAAGAGAGACAGAGTGAGAGCCGTTCTTGAGAAATACAAGAATCATCTTTGTAATCTTTGCAGTTTATAGTGAAATCATTCGATCTCGGTGCCCGTGGACGTAGCTATCACATCGATAGTGAACCACGTAAATTCTTGGTGTTGTTCTTATTGTTTGCATTGAATTTCTTTATTGTTTTCTTGTTTGTTTTCGACCTTTGCTTCCGCTGTCGCACAACAATTGGTATCAGAGCTCAGGTTCAATCCTTGGAGAGTTTCTTGAAGATAACAATGGCAGGAGATTCAACAATAAGAATTGAGAAGTTTACCGAGAAAAATAGTTTCGGGCTATGGCAAATTAAGATGAAGGCTCTGTTAAAACAACAGCAGATATGGCGTCCGTTGGCTCCAAAGAGTACTACTTCGGAGTCAGGAGACGGACCGACTGACTCGCAGTTAGAAGTTATGGAAGAGAAGGCACACTCTACCATATTACTTAGTCTTGATGATCAAATCATCACGGAGGTTGCTGATCAGGAAACGGCGGCTGGATTGTGGCTGAAGCTGGAGTCATTGTATATGACTAAGTCGTTGACCAACAAATTATTACTGAAACAGCGGTTGTTTAGCCTCCGGATGCAGTCAGGTACTTCCTTACGGGAACATCTAGAAAAACTTAACTCTATTTTGCTTGATTTACGTAATTTAGATGTTAAAATTGATGATGAGGATGCTGCGTTGATTTTACTTGTATCTCTACCGTCTAGCTTTGAGAATTTTGTAGAGTCTTTTGTTGTTGGTAAGGATTCTATAACCTTAGAAGAAGTGAAGGCAGCACTTCATACTAGGGAACTCAGAATGAAAGCTACGAGTGATAATGGGGATAATGGTAGTGGGTTATTTGTTAAGTCCGGAAAGTCTAAAAAGAATAAGGGGTTTAACAAGGGGAACAATGCTGGGTCGGGTGCTGGAAACGGCAAGGATGGATCTAGTAAAACTACTACTAAAACATGTTATTACTGTAAAGAACCGGGTCACTTTAGGAATAATTGTCCGGTGAGGAAAAACAAGTCCCAGGCTGCTGTAGTTGAAGAGAAACCGAATGAGAGCTATAATTCAGAGGAAGATTTAGCATTAGTCAGTTCTGCTAGGTCTGATGATTTATCTGATAACTGGGTTCTAGATTCGGGGTGTTCGTTCCATATGTGTCCACGTCGAGATTGGTTTGATACATATGAACCTCGCAATGGGGGTATGGTTATAGTCGGTAACAATGCTCCATGTAAGGTCACAGGTATTGGTTCCATGAGGTTGAGGACTGTTGATGGGCGGAGGTTAACTTTGACTAATGTACGGCATGTTCCTGCTTTAGGAAAGAATCTGATTTCATTGGGTACCCTGGATGAATTGGGGTACAATGGTGTGTTTTCAGATGGGGAGTTGTGTATTTTCAGAGGTTCTGAGTTGGTACTTAAGGGTATCAAAAGGAACACCCTCTATGTTTTTGAGGGTGTTACACTGCCTAGTTCTGCGGTTTGCGCATCTGTATCTCACCAGGAGATGACTAAGATTTGGCACATGAGGCTTGGTCATATGGGGAGAAGGGGATGCAGCTATTGTCCAAGAGGGGTCTTCTATCCGGGGTCAAGGTTGCCAACCTTGAATTTTGTGAGCATTGTGTGTTTGGTAAGAAACACAGGTCAAAGTTCAGCAAGGGTGCTCACATTACTGATGCAGTGCTCGATTACATCCATTCAGATTGCTGGGGTCCATCTAGAGTTGAAGGTATGGGAGGTTACCACTATTTTGTGTCATTTGTTGATGACAAGTCCCGATACACATGGCTTAGGTTGCTTAAGTCAAAGGATGAGGCCTTCAAAGTTTTCAAGCAATGGAAAGCTTTGGTGGAAAATCGACAAGGAAGGAAGATCAAGAAGCTACGAACGGACAATGGGCTAGAGTTTTGCAAAGACGAGTTTAATCAGTTCTGTGCAGATGAGGGTATAGGTCGGCATCATACTGTCAGGAAGACACCACAGCAGAACGGTGTAGCAGAACGGGTTAATCAGACACTGCTAGAGAGAGTTCGATGCATGCTCTCTAATGCAGGGCTTGGGAGGAGGTACTGGAGTGAAGCTGTGTTAACAGCTTGTTATGTCATTAATAGGGGTCCTCATTCTGGAATTGATTCCAAAATTCCGTTTGAGATCTGGAGTGGTAAGTTGCCTAATTTTTCGAATTTGAAGATTTTTGGTTGTGTTGCTTATTATCATGTTATTGAGGGTAAGCTGGATCCACGAGCCAAGAAGGGGTGTTTTGTTGGGTACGGGGATGGTGTGAAGGGGTTTAGAATTTTTTCACCTTCGGAGGGTCGGGTCATTCTTAGTAGGGATGTTACTTTCGATGAAAACACCATGTATTCAATTAAAAATGCAGAGATTTCAGATTTGAGAAGGGAAGGAGACAATTTATTACAGACAGATGGGGTACTTGAGGTACATCAGTCTACCATTGCTGATTTACCTCGGGTACAATATATTGATGATGATGCTGATGTTCCAGTGCCGGGTACTCCTGAACCTGAGATTACTCCTACTCATTCTAACTCTGGGGATGAGGTGGAGCAATCTAATCAGGGGTCATCTAGTCAACCTGACACCATTCTTGAGATGCCTAAACGAGTTATCAAGAAGCCTGTTAGATTGATTGAAGAGATGGAGGGAAGAAATTGCTGTGTTGATGCGATGACAGGTTATGCATTGAGTGTAGCTGATGATGTAGAGTCATTTGAACCTGCCACATATAAACAAGCAATTAGTTGTAGTGAGTCTGCGCAATGGCTTGCCGCAATGGGTGAAGAGATGCAGTCTCTTTACAAGAACAGAGTGTGGGAACTGGTAAAGGTACGGGAAGGGAGGAAGCTTGTGGGTTGTAAATGGATTTACAAGAAGAAAGAAGGGTTGTCGGAAACTGAGCAAATACGTTTTAAGGCTAGGCTAGTTGCTAAGGGGTTCAGTCAGGTAGAAGGGGTTGATTTTGTTGAGATATTCTCACCTGTGGTTCGACATACTTCTATCCGTGTGTTATTGTCAATTGTAGCACATTTTGATCTTGAGCTGGAGCAGTTGGATGTTAAAACGGCTTTCCTTCATGGCGATTTGGAGGAGGAGATTCTGATGAAGCAGCCCGAAGGATTCGAAGTTCCTGGAAAGGAACACTATGCCTGCAGATTGCTAAAGTCATTGTATGGACTTAAGCAATCCCCCCGACAGTGGTACAAAAGGTTTGATTCTTTTATGGTTTCACAAGGTTTTGACAGGAATTCATATGATTGCTGTGTGTATCATAGTAAGCTGGATAATGGTTCCATGATTTATCTTTTGTTATATGTTGATGACATGTTGGTTGCCACAAAGAATAAATCTGATATTGCTAGATTAAAGGAGATGCTTAACTCGGAGTTTGACATGAAAGACTTGGGTGCAGCTAGGAAGATTTTGGGTATGGAGATCTACAGGGATCGGGCTAGAGGTAAGCTTTTCTTGACTCAGAAAAGCTACATTGAAAAGATTTTGTCTCGTTTTGGGATGGAAAAATCGAAGCCTATAAGTACGCCAACTACTGTTAGTTGTAAGTTGTCTTTGTCTATGTCACCTCAATCAGAGGAGGAGTTGTCT